CCTTTCAGATTTTAAGAAATCAAAGATGTAGGACACATACCATTAACATCACTGCACATGTGAGAATGTGTAGTATGTGTGTATGTGCAGTCCTTAAGTATTTCTGTATTGTTTTTGTCTCTCTAGCAAGTGTTGAAAAGAGGAGGGAGATAATCCTCAGGGCAATTGGTTTCTACCTGATGAAGACCCAAACATCCTCTTCAAAGAAAACCTGGTTGGTAATTTCAGTAGTTACTACCTGCATTAAACCAAACGGCTACAGTTGTGGTCAAAAGTTTACATACACTTGTAAACAACATGTATTTCATGGCAGTTAAAACCAACTGCCATGAAATACATGAAAATGAATTGTGATTTTGCCTGACATAAAGAAACAAAACACAGACAGCTTGTTACGTCCCCGGCTTGTCAAGGGGTGGGGGACTAACAGAGATAAATAAATCGGGTGGAAAAACAAAGGATGACCCAAAATGTGTCAAGTTAATGTAATTATTCTAAGTTAGTAACAAAAGTTGTTTTAACAACTGAAGGCGATCTCTGCTCACATTAGAGACGATATGGGGTTTGTTATGTAAAGTAAATTAATTAAGATATTCAGCGGAAAATATGCAACACAATACAGAGTCTCTACGGCTCCCACCGCGCTGGTGAGGCATATGTGGAGATCGACGCTCCTCACCACACCGGCTTCTAGCTGGTCGTGAACATGGGGCCGATGGCTGCCTCCGCAGAGTCACCAGACGCATGGCATGAGTAGTTAAGATCGGCATCCAGCAGATCACGTCTCGCTACGGACCACACAGTAAGTCAACCACGCAATAAGTCACACAGTCTAACGCGAGCAACCACGGAAGAGTGAGCCTGAGAGCACTTCACTGGCTCAGCTTATGTGCCCCACTGATTGCCGCTGATCAGCTCCAGCTGCGGGATTTACGCAGCGCCAGGCTCAGGGCCCAGGTACACACCTGCAGACAAGAGACAAGCACAACCCACAGACCTCATGGGTCGTAACACAGCTGTTTGAATAACGGCTGCTACTAAACTTTCACATGATCAACAAAAATCAATATGCAACTAACGTTAATGATTTTCGCCCACACACTGTGCAGCACGGTGGCACATAGCTAGCGTCCTCAACTCCTTCACAGGACAGCTACGTGACAGGTGGCAGTAGGTGACGGTGAAAATGAGCAGAGCAGAGGAAATATGAGTGCTACATTTTAGTCTGGCTGTAAATGTACAGTGTAGGTTACAGTTTGTCCGTTAATTAAAGTCTGTCTGTTCTCCAACTGCTGGAAAAGTGAAGGCAGTTAGCGATAGGTAACGTCTCCTCTTCAGACTGCGGTCTGGAAGCTGAGCAGGACGTTTTTTGGCCGTAAGTTCAAATTTGTTTGTTGTCATTCATCCACATATTGAGTACACAATGAACCCAATGCCGTTTCTCAAGGCCCATGGTGCTCAATACAAGATTACCATAAACAACTTACAAGACAAGAAACAAACATGTAACTACACTAGACGAGACATTACATTTATTCATTTAGCTGACGCTTTTATCCAAAGCGACTTAGAATTGCTATTTAGATTGCATAGTTAAACCAAATCTGACTCTATACTAATAACAGCAGCATCAAAAATAAAAATATCAGCAAAAGAGGTCAGTAATAACGCTGTAATAATGCTATGCAATGTTAGCTGCATTTATATGAAGTAACATTAAATATCTGCATTTTCAATACTACCTATTTGTTTGATTTGTTACAAATAGTTTTGTCTTACAGTCGCATCGTAGAATCATAATCGTAATGAGGTGACTAGAAATTCCCACCCTTGAGGTGACGCATCAAGATTCAAACCAAATTGTTGATCTGATAATCGTAATTGAATTGAAGGTTGCAGTAGACTGCACGCCCTCCAAATAAAGTGCTTGGTGAGGTATATTAAATAATACACAATTGTATCTAATATTTAATTCACCAGCACTACTTCATCTTGTAATTTTTAAACACATAGCACTGTATCATGCTATTTTTGTTAAATCATTACATAAAGGACGCCTGAAATGCAAACATTACTCTTTAGAATTCTGCAAAATCTGTTTGTGATTTCATAATTTGTTTTTCTTTCTTTCTGTCCTATGTAAAGGATCTGATGCTACAGCCGTTCCGAGGGAGCTTGGACAAGTTATCATTACAGCATCCGTGTTGAGGGAGGTGATGCTACCACTCCTCCAGCTGATGTTGGGATAGTCACCGAGGGTGCTGAAGTTCTGCATGACTTGGGAGACATCGCCTCTACACATGCACTCTTAATAGGTGTAATTATGCACTGAACCTCAGTTATCCTCAGAACCTTAAAGCCTTCTTTGAGGTACTTCACAAGTGATTCTTTCAACTAGATGCTAGCAAACTCTCAACCAAGGTACAGATGCTCAAGAACAAACTCTATGAATGAGCCATCCATTGATTTGGATGCTGAGTGTTCTGCAGAATAGGCAGAATTCTAAGCAATGCATCATCAAAATTGTTGACAACTAAACATTATTTTGCAAACTTTTCAACACTTTATAGTGCTAATAATTTTACTGTATTATTTTTTCACCAATTGCACCAAAATGATATTGATGTGTTGGTGAATAAAGTCCATAACAAAATTCAGTTGAAATTAATTTGTGTGGGACCAGTTGACAAACATTTGATTTGTGTAAATCTAATTTGGAAAAAAAATATTGAATGAAAACCTAATGTTTTAATTAATTGAACATAAATGTATATTTTTACTACTCAAAATAAAATATTGAAAGGTAAGCTTAAATATACTGTTGATCAGAAGTTTTTTTATTTTTATTTGGATCAATTGACATTCATTGTGTTCCTCTTATACAAGTTCATTACATTTTTTTGCTTTTAACTAACCTAAAACAATTTTGTGGAATCTGTTGAAAAAATAAATATAATTAAAATCAAAGCTTCAGTTTTTTGAGTGAACCAAGATGGGAAAACAAATACACCTTTTATGACCATTTGATTTTGATACATAGCCCAAACACCAGTAAGCTGTGCATCAAGACCTAAAGAGAATAGGTCTTTTTAGCCTCAAATGGCCTATAAAAGTAAACCCCATACATTAATGGGAAAAGTTTGTAGATGTATTGGATAATTGCTTGTAATTACTATAAAAGTATGTTTATTTGAAGTAAACCCCATACATTAATGATAAAAGTCTGTAGGTATATTGAATAGTTGCTTTTAATCACTATAAAAGTATGTTTATTCAAAGTAAACTCCATACATTAATGGGAAAAGTTCGTAGATATATTGGATAGTTGCTTGTAATTACTGTCAAATATTGTTTATATAAAGTAATCTCTATAAAAATATGGTTTTGCAAGCTATTATCACGTGATCTTTGTTATTCCACAATTTAAAAACTAAATTTAACAGGAAGTTACTATTAATAGATTGGATAATCCCATAAAATAAAAGCCTAAAGCTTTCAAGATACTGTTAATGAGTTTTAAAGCACGGTATTTTAAGGAATTTTTTATAAATTTTTTTGTGTTTTAAATCTAAAAATCTGTACTTTGATAAGGAGTTCTTGTGGATGGAATAGATAATCTTATGAATTTACCAAAGAATACTGTGTAAAAACAGCAGACACTTTTTAACTGTGTAATTTTAAGGTATTTCTGCAATATTTTTCAGTTTATATGCAGATTTATACATTTGTTTAAAATTCTACAGACATTTTTTAAATTAGATTTTCTTTTCATTTTACAGCAGTTGGACTGTAAAAATACAGACAATGTTTACAGTAAATATCTGTATTTAAAAACAGAATTATTCTGTAGAATAATTTAAGGTTCTTTACTGTAATTTTACAGTAAGTGTTTGGCAACTTTTGCTGCCAGACTTTTTACCGTTATTTTACGATTGTTTTTTTACATTTATTTACCTTAAATTTAAAGTTTCACAGTAAAAAACAGGAAGTTGTCTTAATTTTAAATATGTGAATTTCTCTGTCTTTTTACATAGAATTCAATGTAATTTTACATTCAGGGCAATTAAGCAATGGAATAATCCTGTAAAAAAAGTATAATTTCTTATTATATGAATATACAGATTATAACTTTTATTTTATGGTTAATGTTTTTAATAAAAGTATTTTTCTGTATTTTCATGGTATTTATATGTAATGTTGAAAAAACAGAAAAAATCTGTAAAATAATACAGTATATTTCTGTGAAAAAACTTTTTTTTTTTTTTTTACAGTGTACACATGGCCTCATTAAGTCATAAATACAGGAGAGAAAACTATTTGGATCAGACTTGGATGGAACGAGAATTGGGGTTTTTCACTTGACTCTCAGGACTTTCATAGTTTTGCGAAGGAGGACTGACAAACTAGCTTGGAAAATGTATCTTGGGTAAACTTTCCCAAATCCAGTAAAGAGCAGGGAGCTCTTGCAAATTTTACTTGATGTGCCAGTTTAAGAAAGGCTAAGTTAAGTTACTAAACATAAGTAAGCTAATCAGCCAGGCATGCCAAGATTAGCAACTTCAGGGGAAAAAAGCAAAAAAAAACAAAAAATAAATAAAAAACACCCTGCGAACACTATCACCCTGGAGGTCAGCAAATATTTTCAACTGCTGTTAAGCTGGTCTTCAAACATCACATTTCCCAGCAGTAATTATGTCCTTATAGTGGCTGCTAGATTTTTACTCCATAATTGTTGCAATCAAAGGTGCAAACATAAAATGCCACTTAACTGCTATAATGTAAGTAGGTACATTCATAAATTTGGATTAATTTACACCTGCTTTGCCTCTGCAAATTTAGTATTTTTAGGAACTATGAGCCTCCAACAGATCCTGAATGCAAAGACATGATGTAAGGCATTACTTACATCATGTCTTTGCATTCAGGATTTATGTTTTTTATTGTTTATTGTAACACTTCAGCTGTTCAATTTAATTGATGATGCACATTATTCCTGTAATACACAAAAGTAGATTAAGTAATGACTGTCCAGACTAAAGAGAAACTAGCAAACAGTGTCAGTATTAAACAAATCTTTGTTTACATGCCAAGATATACTCTAAATCAGAATACTGAATGTAAATGTAAATACATGGACATAGGTGGTCATTTTCTCATGATAGCTTGCAGAGTATAAACTTCTTTAAAGAGTTAAGAGAAACAATTGAACTAGTTAGCATTTCAGAAATGGATGGTTTTAAAACATCACATCAAGTCCAGTAACAGTATAGCTATGTTACAGTTCAAAGAGACAGATTCAGATGCCTAGTGCGTATCTGCAGATCAAGACAATTATTGTCTTTTGTGGGCCATAAAATCTGCTTCCATTTCTTCTACAGATTATGTCCATTATCTCCACAGGTCAATTATTTCTGCAAAGCGCATTATTACACATCATCTGATAGTGCTGTTTAACCATATAACAGCATTATTATTGTGTTAAGTCTCATGAAATAACAATTTGAGACTCATATCCTGTATATTACATCTCTTTTTCCATAAGCAGTAACAGAAGTGGGGGACAGGATGTTATGAAGAGTCACATCAGATCCTTTGCATTAAGAATCACCACAATCTTAATTTGCTCTGTTCTGTTAATGTAAGTGGATGCAACCGAGCATTGATTTGTGGTCATATCTGATCCTCTGCGATAATGTCTGGTCCTCCTATAGATGGCGCTAACTTTCCTCCTAAAGTACTGCCCTGAGAAGACATACAGCAGTGGGTTCAGGACACTGTTGAGAAAGGCAAGATACACTGAAACCTGCCCCCCTATGTCGAGAATGTGGGACCACAGCATCTCATTCAACACTTGGACATCACACAGTGTGTCAAGGAAAGTGAACACCTGAAACGGACCCCAACACAGTAAGAATAATAGTGTGACGGCATACACAAGTACTGTGGCCTTTGTGTCATTATTGTCATGGAAACCTACACTCTCCCTCCTCTGAGCTAAAGCCTTGATTATGTTCACACTGCTGTAAACAATGACCAGAACAGGGAGTACAAAGCCCACTATGTTCATCAGAATCTGATGGGCCAACTTCCAAGCGCTGTTATGATTGTAATCCAATATACAGGACATGGTCTTGAACTCCTCGATGAACTTCACCTTTCTGTGAACCATGGTGGGCGTGCTCAGTATAAGGCCTAACATCCACAGGATGAAGCAGATCACCCTGGCATAAAGTGTCCGTCTCAGCAACCTGGCCTTCATGGTCTTCACAACTACCAGGTAGCGGTCAACACTAATCATGACCAGAGTGTAGACGCTGGTGTAAAAATTGATAATGATGACAGAGTTGACCATTTTGCATAAGGCATCTCCGTAGGGCCAGTTAAAGTGATTGAGGATGTTCATCGCCCAGAAGGGGAGGCCACACAGGAGAATAAAGTCAGCCAGGACCAGGTTGCTCAGGTAAATCTCAGCTACAGTCAGTCGATCCCTGTGGGTGAGGAACACCACCAGGACAAAGCTATTAAAAACGAGGCCTAGCAGGGTTAAGGTGAAGATGTACGGAGGGATGATTGCATGGATCATCTCCCATTCTTCAGAGATCGGAGACTCTGATGAACCGGATGGCAGAGACGCACTGGTGTTTTCAGACCACAGTGTTGCCACAGATACAAGGTTCATTTGCTCCATGGGCTAGGAAACAAAAACAAATGATAAAACCTCATCAGTAAAATGCTGTTAAAGTAAAATTATTTTATTTAAAATGCATGAGGCGTCAGACAGCATAACTGAATATGTAAAGGTAACAATTTCCAGTTTAAACACAATTAAATAAAGAAAACATGTTGTGAAATGATACATAAATGATGTAAAATTGTCAACATGATGTCATGTATCACAGGCATTTAGTTCTGCTGAGGAAAACAGGCAGCCACACATTAACAAATTCATTATTTAAGGCCAAGCTGATTATTTTGCAAAGAATGTTTAGCACCATATTTTTAAAGTACAGACTTTGATGCTCAAAACTAAAAGCAGGATGGAACATGAGAAGTTCTTACCATACGTTTCATGAAAATGTTCTATCCTAAAAGACGCATCTGGAACAGGGCTCATCTGTGTACACTGAAATCTTGGTAACAGAACACAGTGAGCCAGAAGGGAGATCTGCTACGAGCATGTTTGTATATAGAGTTGCATTCCTCCACAAGGAAATTAATATATCAACTTGTTTATGAAAAAGTCATGTGCACATGTTAGAGACAGAAACTGCAGAGCACTAAATGTGTTGGAGAGAAGTTAAAACTCCAGACAGAATTGGTTTTTCATAATGACTGATACTGTATATCTTTAATATGAAATTTTATTACTTGAAAAGTAAAATGACCACTTGATGTGATACTGATATGCAGTGTTTTCAAATAAACATTCTCCAAGGTCAAAGAGAAAAACAAAATACTTGCGGTTCATACAAATGTAGTAATCACTTTAATTTAACCGATTAACAGAATTATTGCCCAGTCTTTAGTACCTCTGTCTAGGCTTTGATGTTGATACAGGTACTTAATGCTGTGCTTTTCAATTTATGAACAGTTGATTTACAGTTAATCTTTTCTAAATGTTTAACTAAATAAGTAGTACAAGTTGATTTATCCCTATGCCAATTTATCCTTGATGTTTATTCTTATCCGAATCTATTCTAAGTCAAGATGATGAAATGTAAAAAGTAACATGCTTGATACAGCTTAAAACTAAATAATGACATTGGATAGAATACAAAATATAAAGAATGCTTTTTGTCAGTTTGCAAAGGAAAGTGTAAGCTGAAAGTGAGTATGGTTGAGGCAGTTGCATTCCTTTTATGGTCAAAATGACACTTGAATCCTGCAGTCCATTAAGACAGATAAACTATTCTGAAAGGGAATCTGGCTCATTCTCATCCTGAGTATATCCAAAGTTCTTATCAAAACAAAGACACCTCATCCTTCCAATGCTTGTAGATGATTTATTTATTAAAGACAACAGCACTCATATATTGGATTAACTTAAAAACATGCAAATTTATATTTTTAAAGCCTTTGCAGACACCTTTTCTCTGGAATACAAATGTTTGTGTTTGATATTTGTTTTATTCCATTTGTAGTTACAGTATATTAATAGTGCAGAAGTAAATGTTATATTGTAATATATACATACACTAATAAAGTGACAGGTTAGTACACAAAAACAATGGATTCATCAACTCAAGTGTTTTCTTTCCATGTGTTACATCTATTTGAGTTAGATCCAGTTTCAACATGGGAAGTCGTTCAAGAACATCTTAGAAAACCAACTCAGTTTCCTGATGGTTGCTATAAAAACAGAAATTACAGCCTCAGAACATCCATGAGAAATGGTTCCAAATTTCTTAAGCTTTGTTAAGACAACCAACCTCGGCTTCGTTTAGCGTGAAACACAAGTTAAACAGCTCTGACAGGAAAGTACTGTTTATAATAGTAAAATATGGCATCACGTTCCAGATCGACAAACACGACACAGTATAATAGTAAACATTAGACAAAGTTAGTTCACAAAACCATGGAGCTGCAAAATTTCACATAAAATGGTTGACTTTTAACTTTCAAGATCTTGCATTTATAATGTATTTTACACCTCACAAAAAGGGACTTCTTCTCTTAAATATCTGCCCAAAAATCCAAATAAAGCCATATAAAGAAGATATCTTACTTATTTTTCGCCTTCATGCCAAGAGTTAAATGAAAAAATTGATTCCTCTCTTAAGTTTATACAGTAAATATGAAGCTGGTTATCTTAGCTTAGATTAGAAACGGGGAGACAGCTGGTGTGGCTCTGAATTCACCTCCCAATACATCTAAGCTCACAAATCAAACATCATATCTTATTTGTTTAACTGGTACAAAAACAAAGTGTAAAATCAACATGTTATGTTTTTAATAGGAATTATGAGCCAGAGTATTCTGGTGATTTTGTATACATCATACACCATACAATGTATCAAGCTTTAGGTGTTGTTAAGCAAATTAAACTAGCCTTAATCTGTTTCCCCATCTTTCCGGTCTTTATGCTAAGTTAAGCTAACTGGCTACTGGCTATAGTTTCATATTTTAATCTATAGATAAAAGAGTGGTATCAATCTTCTCATCGAACTCTTGGCAAGAAAGTGAATAAGCATATTTCCCAAAATGTTAAATGATATGATAAATGATATGGCAATAAGTAAATAAGTGACTGGATAATGGGATGTCTATATAAAAGACAATAATTGAATGTATTTGACAAATCTTACAACTTTTTTACGTCAAACTTTTTTGTGTAGATAGATTTAGATTTGAGTACTCTCTGTTTGTTTAGTTGAGTTGAGATTAACATTGGAATGACCAGACTTTCCCCATTGCCATTTCCTCCTGCACAGCAAATGTCTAAACACTTCCCTCGCCCTCTGCTTGAAGTGCTTCCCCACAATCACATACAGGAAAGGATTCAATGCGCTGTTACTATAGCCAAGGTAAGTAGCTAACTGGTTGCCAATGTCCAACACGTATGCCCATGTACATCCAGAGATGACTTCATAATAATCCAAGGTGTCCAACAAGATCAGGATCTGGTAGGGCAGCCAGCAGAGAATGAATACAGCCAGAACAATGAGTACAAGGCATGCCGCCTTCCTTTCCACACTGCCTCTGCTGCCTTTTCTCATGTTCTGGCTGGTCCGAAGGACTTTAGTGATATGGTAACTACAGAAGGATACAATAGGAACAGGGATAAGGAAGCCTACTATGCTGACAGTCATGTTGAAGCGCAGTCTCCAGCCTTCATGGGGATACACTAAGTAGCATGCATCAATGCCCAGAGGGGGGTAGAACTGGACAGAGCGGAAGAGGATGGCCGGGAAGCTGAGCAAGACCCCAGCAATCCAGATACTGAAGCAAATCCCACGTGCCCAAAAGGACCGTCTCTCCCTCTCCTGGGTTAGAGGTCTAGTGAGGGCCACGTATCTATCCACGCTCACAAGTGTAAGGAACAGCACACTGCAATAATAATTCATCCCAATGACAATGTTGATAAGCTGGCACATGGGCTCCCCAAACCTCCAGTGGAACTTATTGATAATGGTTGCTACCCAGAACGGCAGGCAGGAAACCATGAGGAGATCAGCTGCTGCTAGGTTGCTCAGGTAGATGTCAGCCACAGAGCTGCGCCGCTTCTGGAGACAGAACACAACCAGCACAAAGGCGTTGCCGATCACTCCAAGAAGACAGATGATGGACATATAGGCCGGCTGCATGGTGTAAACCCAATCCCAGGCGTCTGTGTGGTTGCAAACAAGCTCATCTCTTGCGGCACTCTCCATAAGTAACCCACCTGCTGTACTGTAGATTACTGTGAAAGCTGTTGGACAGTAACAGAGATTTTAGAGGTTGAAAAATAAGGGCGTATTCAAAAGTAATACATTTACCAGTAAAACCTTTTAACTGTGTCAACACAGTTTTAATGTATGTGTCGCTACCTTCACATTATAATTTGAGTTCCACAGTGTGAAAGGACAATAGATCTAATGGATCTAATGGAGTGTGGATAATGTTTTTTTATTAGTCAGGGCGCACAGCACACACATGCCGTCTCTAAAGAGGGGAGTCTTAGCAACAAAACTGTATAAAGCATCTGTTACTGAAAAGCACCGAGGCCACACATTCATACCTGCAAGGTCACATATAGTATGATAACATACAGAAGTCCAACTGCAACTTTAATTTTTTGTGTAAACTGAAGATTAACTAAGATGATACAGCAGCTATCATCATTTTTTCCAAGATAATTTTTTCCAAGAGAATACAATAGAATGAAGGCATGTGGCGAAGCATTTCTTATGGCAACTGTTGACTGACATTTGAGGGACAGCTTTATTAGGGGAGACACTGTCAGCTTACATGGATCTCACTACAGATGTGTATTGTATCTCTCTCCCTCTTACCCAACTATTATTTTAAATGTTTTAAAAACTGAGGAGATGTTTCTGGACCCTTGACGAGTGGGAGATCATAGTCCAGTGGTCATACATGGTGAACTAATCAATCAGGTCTGCATCTTTCATCAGCTGGAAGGCCCATGGTGAAAGTGTGTGTTCTTGTTTACAGCCAAGATTATACCTTTTATGCAGACTCTCAGTTTATGGTGGATCAGAGGATTACATTTTTATTCTACCAGGCTGTGTTAGAGAACATAGTCGGGTATGTGATGTCAACATGGTATGGCTAATCTCTCCAGTCAATATATTAGCAGACTGTTCTCAGGCAAGCACAGAGAATACTGAGAATACTTCACTCACTCGCTTATTTCTCCAACTGTTTCTCATCTCGTCTCTCATGGTGTGTCATTCGTGAATAATTAGTTAATTTTGAACAAATTTTTTGTATGACTCTAAATGAGGGATTTGTTCATTTCCACACATTCATGCATGCTTTTGCATTGTGCGGCCTCACAGAAGCAAGTGCACTCAAGACTTCAGCCACAGAGCGGCTAACTTCCAGTTTAGCCCTCCATTACTTTGAATGGGGACATAATGATTTAATCGTGTGGCTCTTCTAGACTTTCTAAATGTTATTGGACTGAATGAACAAAATTCTGATTCTGAGTCATTTCACGCGTGTTGTGACTCAAAAAAATTTTTACAGCCACTTTTTTCACTAAGGGGAAAAGTTTTTTGGCCCAGTGTGCATCATGTGACAATACCTGAAGTTGTAATTCCACGGTTTGTCCACTATGTCAAATTGGCTTGTATGGTGCACTTCCTGGGGTTTACAAGTACTTTTGTCCCAGATTTGAAACTTCCCCCTGAATAGCCAATGCGGATGCTCATATTAACATATCACATCCAACTATCCAATCAGGAATATCATTTCACTATCCATTTGGTTAACAATCCCAAAGTTTTCTATCTGGAGATAAAAAAATAAAATTAACTTATTACAGGAAGGTAATGTGGATGTGGTTAGATTGCCAGATTGGTAAAATTGCCAGCATTCTCTGCTAACGTTAATACTGCGTTAACTAACTAACTTAGCCAACAGGAGCTACATTGAATTTGTCAATCAGGTTGTGTGTGTCCATTATAACGATATTTGGTTTGCCTTGTTGATCATCTTACAATTCAGCCATTACAGTGACGTCACCACAAACTTCTCTTCATGTAAGGTGAGTATCTGATCCTGTCCTGTTTTTTTCTTTCTTCAGAAGTTTAGTTTTCAGTGATACAAAAATCAGATCAATTCAGTATGTAGGTTTCAATTGCAGATACCAGGGAATCTTTCTGACAGTTTCAGGATAAACACAGAAAAATGAAAAACGGTTGAATTTCATGGCCTAGAAATGACCTTAAAAGGTGTAAGAATTACTCTTTTAATCTGTATTTTTTGTTCTTATATCTAAATTGCATTCCAAAAACATATAAGATCCAGTGGTATTTAAGTATTGTGTAAAGCATATTTTGGTATCTAAAATTACCCTTATTTGTAACATGAAGGTACTGTACAGTAAATATCTTCTTTCAGAAAACAGGTGCCTACTTAAAAAAAACATCCAATGGCCATTAATTATTGTCTGATTAACATCAGGTCCTGTGGTGTGACATACGTTACAAAAAGAAATCTCACATTATTCATTGTATACAACTGCACAGTTTATCATAAAGCCTCATAACACAAGCCATAACATATATTCCAAGAGTATATTCCACACGATTTCCTCAATGCACCTGACTCTGTCATATTGGTATTAAAAACTATATGTTGTATTCTGGCTGTCACAGTTCTGTAGTGGTGGGTGTGTATTTCATGTTTCCTGTACTTAGTAATGTCTGCCCTCTAGTGTTCTTGTCTGGTTTTACTTCCTGTGCATGTCTTTCACTGATTGTCTAGTGCAGGGGTATTCAATTAGAATTCAAAGAGGTACAGTTAGAGAAAATTTCCACATCATAACGACTAACTTGCGTTTTCATTCAGTGCCATAACGTATAGTTGTATACATATGTTTTTAGTCAAACACTGACAATATTTCAACAATATTCAGTTTTCACATCAAACTGGAGGGATAATAATAAAAAACTACTCTAATAATAAATTTTAAATTTTGCTTAATTTTAAAAATCATAAAAAGTGTAGCTTGAAGTGATGAAGTGCAGTCTTAATCAATTTTATAATAAACACTCAACACATCTTAACAAATGAACAGCTGTAATGCCTCCTCTTCTCTTTCATTCCCTCTTACAGAGCTACCACTTCCCTACTTTCTCTTATTCAGTGAGAAACATGAGCTCTTGCTTGTCCTGCCAGCTAGCATTGGAGATCTATGAGATATTCTGATTCTGAACTGCCCGTGGGAGGAAATTACATGTAAAAATCTGTACATTCTTGATTAAAAGCCATGTGAAATCTCTTTTCTCTTTCGCCTCCTCTCTCCATATGTGTTTCCAAAACGTCTCCGGTGTATCGCACTCACAGACTCGCAATGCCTGTTGGAATGCACAGATTTGATTGGCTGAGCAGCCTCACATGAGGCGATTAGAACACATGCGATTGGTCTGTGAGTTTCCTGGGCCGTTAAATCAGTACAGTAAATGCTAGAAAATCTGCGTGGGTTAAAAAAAGAAACGCTCCATCACGAGGTAGTAATTCTCAATAATAAACCGGCTGTAGGTCAGCGGTCAGAGAGGACAGCGGCTGGGTCTGGATCTGGACCGCGGTCCGCCTATCAGTGACCTCTGGTCTTGTGCTTTCACCTGTGTGTGATTATGTTCACCCCCAATAGTGTATTTAGTTGGTATTGCTTTCCTACTTGTTGTGTTCATTGTTCTACACTTTGATTGTTTGACTTTGGCCAATCCCAGTGTCCAGACTTTGAGGTGCGTTCCTGATAAATACGTGAGGCGTTAGGGCTGTGCCACTGTCAAATTGTCAAGTGTGCGAGGGCTCTCTCGCGGACATTTTGAGCCCTTTTTGCACCCTTTTCGTAAATCCGCATTTCTGCAGACTTTGCCTGAGGGAATTGCCCACATTTCATTGCGTTGTGTGACGTGAAATACTGGGGTTACCAGTGGAAGCCCGGAAGCAAGAGAAAAACAGCAAATCTGCCTCATAAGAGAAGAAGAAGAACAAACAAGCATGGTTGATGTTAAAATTGTTAGAATGTTTCTTAAGATTTAAGTTGGTACATAGAACACATGATGTCAGAGGAATGCAATCACCTTATTACACACTTAGTTTATTCAACTGTTTATTTTAGTTTTTGCTTGCTTGATGCTGTTTTGACCAACAATAGTGCATCTATTATTGACAAAAGACTGAGATTTACCTCTCCTCCTCTATGTAGGGCAAGCGCCTGCAGGACTTAAGAATCAGTCAAAAACATAAATAAAACGTGTGCAACGTGTTTCAGCGTCATCAAGGTAACGTGATAATGTGGCAAAGTGCTGTCCCATTCCTGTTTACAGCATCTTGAGCCCTTGTAGTCTCTTGCACTCAACTACTTACCAAGTGACATCATTGAAGTCTGTGAGGGTTCAGGGCTTAGGGCTTAGGGGGGGACATTGGGATTGGGCCTTTCCGTGTTTCATGTCTCATGTCTCTCAGTGCCATAGTCTCTGATTATATTTTCTGTTGGACATATGTACTACTCACCCATTTCTGTTGGTTATTGTGCTTTTGTTTTTCACTTCACTTGAATTTTTTACAGTTCACTTAAATAAACTCCATTAACTATACCTCCTCTTTGTGAGTGTCTGCATCTGGGCCCTAAAACACCTGTTTCCCCCTACCTACCTTAGAGGATAAAGCAAAGTTTTGTTTCACAATAAAGAGACAAATCATAGAAGATTCACACTATATCCATTACAAGTGTTTAAGAACTTGGGAAATTTTGGCACAAATGGTACCATTGGTGGTATTACAGAACACTGTCTCTTTCCATGTGTAGTGAACAACGATGTGGATTTGTGCATTTTATATTGAATGAATGTGGAGCTACCCTAAATTCCTTTCTCCTCCCCAGAGAAGATGGGGAGGGGTCAAAGTTGCTTTCTCTAAGTGCTAGCCCGACCATAAAACTGGCACCTTTTTGATTCCGAAGCTGATAACGCGGGGCCTGACTGTTAAACTGACAAAGGGACACGAGCCAGCCATTGGCATCTCCCTGAACAGCCTATCAAAACTTACCCCACCACACACGTTTCCGTGGAAACTGACCTTATTCTTTGTTTTATTACCACATCAAAAGGATACTCCTTGTCTCACCTAAGTGTGACATGTTCCAGACACTGAACTTTGGATGACAAAGGACTGCATTCTCCAAAAGACTCAA